TTAAGTAATAATACTTTTGCAATCCGTACATCCAATACAGAGATTTTTCACCGAATAGGAATGTGGTAAAACAGGGAGCTTTAGCATCGCCTTAAGACCCGTCTACAATACGCGGAGTAAGAAGCAAGAGTAAGAAATTGACCAATCACAGTCGAATGTGAGAAGAATACTCGACTGTGATTGGTCAATTTCTTAAGGTGCGATTTTACGCTGACGCTAGACGCTCATTTTCAGCTTCAAAACAGGTCACGTGATCAAAATTGACGCTTGGTATTCGTCAATTTTGATCATGTGACCTGTTTTGACGCTGAAAATGAGCGTCGAGCGTCAGCGTGAAAAGGCACCTTTACTCTTACTTCTTACTCCGTGTATTGTAGACGGGCCTTTAATGTAGTACAGGCTCGCATCACATCGTTTTTCGATACTGCGATTTTATCGGCGGTGTCGAAAATATAGTACATAGTTTACATCCATGTTATAAAAGATGTTGGTGCCGCTAGTGTACGAGAGTTTCAAGCTGTTTGGGGAGTTTCATGAAAAAGGCCGGGGAATGATCGCTGTTTTCACTTGTTTTCACTATCATAGGATTCAAGAAGATTGAGGGTTTTGAAGGTTGCCGATTTGATATTTATATTTATGCTCAACCGCTTTGATGTAATAATCGAGCCATAAGCTACAATGAACGAAAACGGGACCATCATTGAATTGAAGAACAATGAAGTGAATGTAAGCAATACGAATAATTTAATAAAAATATATAACCACATATGAAGAATACATTGTGTACTGAGATTGACATTCATGATTTTCATAGATGCCCGTGCCGAAAATAAAACACGATTGGTACCAAACGGAGACTCATGTAATTGTGACAATACTCGCCAAGAATGTAGAAAATATGAAAGTCGTATATGGAGAGAGCACAGTAGGTATCTTCACTGGCTTATCTACTATTGGACTTTATCGGATGATAAAGGAGCCTTGGATGACAGCATATCTTACAGTCATTCTATACATGTATCTTTGTTTTTTTTTTTTTTTTAAGAAAGTTCTTAACTGACGTACAATAGCTATGTTTACACCATGTGCTTAGTCCGTGATCTATACATATTTTTGTTTGACTTAAAGGATAAACAAGGATAATGTATAAGCCATGGCCTAAATGCAGGGTGTAAATATAGCCATTGTGTAGGAAGTTGGAGTGAAACAAATAGCATTTTCGGCCCGATCGGGTTTGCGCCAACCCTGGATTAATCTTTCTTATTGATTGACATCACCCGCTCTACCAATAGGAGAGCACAAAACGCCATTAATCTAACCCAGGTTGGTGCAAACCCCATCGGGCCGAAAATGCTAAAAGAGTGCTTTTCAGCAGACAACACTTGCTGGATTCATACTGGATCCGATGTGCATCGTACGACGTTCTGCAACCAATCAGAAAGCAGAATTTTATTTCGTATCAATGGCTGTGTTCAGCAGAACGTTTATTTTGCAACTATTGAAAGTTTTCTGTGCGCTGATTGATTTATGCCTTTAGATCAACAGGAATGGTTCTATCTCAGCAGACAATCATAAAACTGTTGTGAAACTGTTGTGTTCTGCTGAACGTAGCCAATGATACGAAGTAAAATCCTGTTTTCTGATTGGTTGCAGAGCGTCGCACAACGTACGTCGGATCCAGTGTGAATCCAGTATATATAACATGTAGTGAATTATTCTATCCTTATTGTTTGTCAATGTTAAACATTTTATTTTGTACAAAAATAAAATGGCCACTGTGTTATATTGTATTCCTGGCTGACAAGCATCAAAACTGTGCTTGTTTTACTCCAAGTTATTTTATACCAGTTTAAGACTTTTTTTTTTAAAAAAAACCGACCTAATGTGTTATTTCTTTTTAGATTATTTAAGCTATAGACTTAATATCCAGATATCTGAATATTTGAGATGTCTGGATAATCAATTACTTTGCTAGTAATATTAGTTGGAAGTATCTCATGATCCTTAAATAATATTAAAAAATTAAGACAATTGTTAATGAAAAGAAAGGTGAAATTTGAACAAATCTGAAAATATAACTTTACTATATTATAAATTATTTTTCAGCTAAGTGTGTCTGCACAGTTACCATCTAGCAATGAATATAGTTTAGAGTTAGATTTAGCCAACTTTATAGTGGAGGATCAATGTACATACAAAGTGATGCCGTCCAAGATAGAAATCAAGCTGAAAAAACGAGATGATATTAGATGGACGACATTGGAAGGAAATCCAGTTTTAAGTAAAGTAAAACCTATACCAACTGGTAAGTTGTAAATTTATTACTTTATCGAAAATAAGACAAAACATAAATGCCAAATGATAAAATATGAAACAAAGATGTAATGTCTGCTAATAAGTAAAAAACATTTGGTAAATGGTCCAAAATAATTTATTAATTTACTAATTTACAATGTTATAATAATAAGGCTCAAAAAATTAAAAAAATGAAAGAAAAAGGGCCACGAGCCTAAGAATAAGTCGTTAGGAAATAGTGATGTTTTAAAAAATACAAAATAAATATGTCATGTAGTCACAATATAAAATTATAATATGCCGGCAATGAACAATATACACAAACACAAACAAACGTTTCGATCCCTGTTGGATCATTATCAATGTTAGATACATAAAAATAAGACGGTGAAAATATATTACAAAGTTAAAAATTAAAATTCGCTCTCAATCGCAAGTAAAAATGTAATAAAACTCACAGTAATTAATAAAATAAATTTCGATCAGTATGAGTAAAGAAGTTCTGTGAACTTTGTAATAAGTTGCAATACATGCTTCAGGTTATCAATTGTAAATTAGAGTAATTCGTATCTTGCAAATCGTGCGTCTCGAAACTATTGTCTCAAAACATACTTGAGACATGACCGTTCCACTCTCATCGCATTGTCTAAAAATTAAGAATTTTATATTATACTGACGCACGATTTGCAAAATACGAATTACTCTAATTTACAATTGATAACCTGAAGCATGTATTGCAACTTATTACAAAGTTCACAGAACTTCTTTACTCATACTGATCGAAATTTATTTTATTAATTACTGTGAGTTTTATTACATTTTTACTTGCGATTGAGAGCGAATTTTAATTTTTAACTTTGTAATATATTTTCACCGTCTTATTTTTATGTATCTAACATTGATAATGATCCAACAGGGATCGAAACGTTTGTGTTTGTTTATATTGTTCATTGCCGGCATATTATAATTTTATATTGTGACTACATGACATATTTATTTTGTATTTTTTAAAACATCACTATTTCCTAACGACTTATTCTTAGGCTCGTGGCCCTTTTTCTTTCATTTTTTTACTAATTTACGTATTTTGTTATTAAAAATGTGTAACATTTCTAATTTTTTGTGGCATAATAAGACTTTAATCCTTTCATTACTATGGGCAATTATAATCACTTGACGCTCACATTTTTAAGTAATACAAATATAATATATATTTTGTCACAGCATTGAAGTACTTGAAAAGGCTTGTTTACTTCAGACTTGAGGCATTTTTCTCATCATAAATAATTATTAGATTCACATATGATTTAAGCGTAATCACTTTGAAGTACACACGCAACTTGTACAATCGTATCATATAATGTATTTCATGGTAAAGATAACCATAACGAGAAGATTAAACTTATATTTTATATTATTTAAGCTGCTTTTTTTAGGAGGCATAGTTCACGTAAAGGTCGTTCTATCTTTGTTATTTATTGAATATTAAAAAGGCTAAAATGATATTTATATTGTCTGTACTTCCTAAAAGGAAAACAGTTTTAGTTATTTGCATATTTCTTCTGCAATACCGAAGGATTACGATCTATAAAATATATATATGCAGATTATTATATTTTTTCTAAAATCATGCGTACTATTCAAGAAATACTTCAAGCTGGCAAAGAAGCATCCAAGTATCCAAGCTCCTGTAAAAAATCTAAAGATTGGAATAAAGTTGAAAAGGAAATAGAGAGACAAGAGGCAGCAGAAGAAACCATGGGTGAGGCTGCAGTGAATGCTCTCTTCCAAAAAATATATGGCAATGGATCCGACGAAGTGAGACGCGCTATGAACAAATCCTTTGTAAGTGAAATGTTCATTGTTAACAAATTAAGTGGTAACAAAAAACTGGTTAATTTATGAGAAATTGTTTTTTTTTACAAAACGTAAACTCTAATATAAAACAAAAATTTTTATCAAGATATCTGTATATTTATAAGTAAAAAATAATTTTTCTTAAAGATAACAACCAATTAGAAACTAATTTGTACAGATATGTACATATAAAACTTATTAAACATAAAACTCATTGAATATAATGAGTCAATATAATACATTTGTAAAAATTTCATTATTTTAATGTACAGATAGAATCTGGCGGTACCGTTTTAAGCACTAACTGGGGAGAAGTAGGAAATAAAACAGTCGAGAGAAAACCACCAGATGGAATGGAATGGAAAACTTGGGACTCATAATTATGATTTTTTGCTAATTGGATTTTCATCATTTCTTACATACATTGATCACATTTAATCGTCAATTACCACTATATCACATATACTAGGAATGCATCGGATATTCGAAACGTATCCAGTATCCGGTTGAAATTTTATATCATTAAATTGTTGCTATTTTATTATACAAATATTCTAAAAATAAGTGCATATTCGTAATGATATAATAACTTATATAGTGTGTGTTGCAAAATTACAATTTTTCGCTACAGGTTTTTTTAAAATAATTTTCTGGAATTCGGTTGGATATCCAGAACATGGTGAACATCTAACTCGAATTGCCTTCTCAGATATCTGACTGGGTACCGAATATCCGATGTTACATTCTATCCAGATATCCAGTAATTTTATGATCCATATGTATCCCTAACATATACTTTAAAATAAGAAGGTATACATATTGACATTTACTTGAGAGTGATATCTCATATTTTCATAAATAATAACTTAATAATTTGCACTATTTAAAAATATATTTTGTATTGTAATGACGTATAAAATTATTAACACTTGTTTATATCACAATCTTCATGTAACATTTCAATTTAACTAGATTTATAATTTCTATAGTTATAATTGTATTATGTTATAATATATATGGTACTCCAGTGAAAACAAATGCTCACAATACGTTTATGTACATAAGTTATAAATAAAAAATAGGAAGCATTTTATCTGGCAAGTGTACAGCAAGCATAATTTTTACTATCCTATGAAAAAAGCTATGATTTACTCTTCATATTTTCACCAATAGCTTTTTTATAACATTTTTTAGTTAAATATATGTTACTGATTATAAAAAAATGTAATAAGTATTTTACTGAACTTTAGATAAAAAGATGTAAAACTTACATAAATTTGGTATTCAAATAATTATAATTTTTTTATGATGTATATACACTGTGTTATTTGTAAAAAATATATGACCCACATGCATAAATACCTTTCTTAACATAACTTAATCCTGAAATCAACAAATTTGCTGAATACTTGGCAGAAGATACAAGAATATTAGACATATTAGATTTACTAGTTTCTTTAGTTAAATCTATTGCGCTTTCTTGTTTTTTCGATGTTGCCAACTTGGTATTAAAGGACTGCAATATTTTCTTAATATCCGATAGTTCGTGCATATTCTTTTGAAATAATGATTCATTCTTTTCTTGTGCTGTCTTCATCGTGTTCCGTACATCTAATATCCTTTTGTTATTAAGTATCATTGAACCGATTAATGATACAATTGCTAATATGGCAGAAGCGATAATAGATAAATACTTATATTTCTGTGCATTTAAGTTTTGACTAATATGATAATCTTTTATCGCAGTTGCCAACTGCATGAAATTATCCCTCTCTTCATTCTCAGATAATGCCAGCTGATTAATGAGTTTTTTTTGTTCCTGTAAAGACTTGTGTTCTACTATTGTCAATTGCACGTACTTGGGATCATCTCGTTTCGTTTGAACTAATTCCGCATAGATCTCTTGCAGTTTATAAGTGAGTGCTGTCAATTCTGTATTCAAAATTCTCCTGTTGTCATGACATTGGAATAGTTTATCCTGAAGGATAACCACTTGCCTTCTGGTTTTTTCAACTATATCCATTCCTATTAACTGGTTGTACCATTGCCACAATTTAACGATTTTTCCTGGCAACGGTACGTTTGTTTCTAATGCCTTAGCATTTAAATCTTGTATTATGATGGACTGGTTGTTAAGTTTCTACAACATAAAAATTAATTTTATATGTAATAGTTGTCTTGCATACTACATTTCTCCAACTATAAAACATCCTTTCTTTTTTTAGCAAAGAATCTTTAGACTGTTGGATAAATTTAAAACTGATTCTTTAAAATCAAAATATAATCTTAAACTCAAAATATAAAGTTTTAAATTGAAACTAGAATATAATTTTGTTTATGATATTGTTTCTGGAGAACAGTAAAGAAATTATGAAATAAAAGTTGCTTTAAGCCTGTATCAGACTACCGACTCTGCAAGCCGACCCGAATGCCAACCAATAATGGACCAATTACATTGAATCAGTCTTATTGTGATTGGTACGGCTTTATAAAATTTGGAATACTGAGTATGTTCAATCTAAAATTCTGAATCATTTTAAATAGCTCGTTGATAAATATTGTGAAATAATTTTATATAAATACATAAGGCATTGTGTAACATTTGCAATGTTTTATATCAATACACTTGTGTGTCTCTAAACAAAAACAAAAGTCAATCTCAGGAAGTCGATTAGAAATCAATGTTTTTGTCGACAGTTGCATGAAATAAAAATACTTTGATATATTTACATAAAATTGCTTACTTTCGCAACGATGTTATATTTTTCGGTCGCGATGCTCTGCGCACTGGCGAGTTTGCTCTGCGCTTTTTCCGAGGCATTTTCTACAACCCCCTTTGCATTGTGAAGCACACCATCATATCTCTTCACTTGTTCGCTTACTAGCCTCATCACCTGCCGGTAGCGCTCTATCATTATACCAATTGGATGGAACGATGCAAAAGTGGGACTGAATTAATTGGATTATTAAACGCCGACAGACGACAAAAGAATTTAAATACGAAGACTAGCTCATTCCTAATCTTGAACTGTAATTCAATCTAACCATAACCTCCAATCACGTCACGTTTTAACGTTTAAACATGGCAAGTTAGGCCCTGCGCACAATGGAGGAAATATTAGGAACAGGGATAGATATTAAAATTTTAACCTATCAGATACCAGTTGCATCGGAATAGACGGTTTCTGATAGGTAGAAATCTTAATATCTATTCCTGTTCCTAATATTTCCTCCATTGTGCGCAGGGCTTTAATCCGACCTAACCTAACATAATACAACAAGAAATCGGACATAGGAATAATAATGAAAATAGCGAATTACTGCAATTTATTTTTACTTAAGTTTTAATCGTTTTGAGCACCTTTATTGTTTTAAATTCATTTCTACATGAAAGAGAGAGAGAATCGATACGATTGGTCCTTCGCGCAACTCTAGTTTGGATTTCGCGATCGTTTCGATAATCGCGATACTAAGAGCGATTCGATATTGCGATTCTCGAAGCGGAATTTGAATCGCGATCGGTGGTAATCGCTCACGGAACGCGTCACGTTGGAGTTTCGCGTTCGAAATGCTCCGCATTTTTCTTTCCGATTATTATTATCAAAATTAAATTTCATACGAAAAACATTGTCGCGAGTGTCCCGTCGGAATTTATTGACATAATGAATACCGTACGCGTTTATTCATTTTACGTCAATATTTGGCGATCCGCCTCTGTATATGTGACAGTCGGCATCTTTCCTGTGCCTGTGTTGTGAAAGCGACATTGATATATTATCGTTAAAGGTGCGTCAAAAGCGTTCAATTGATTGCGTCAACATTAAGGGCCGGTCTCACCAACTCCGATTTACACTCGATTGATTGTTACATTAAAACTGACAAATTGCATTTGCTGTTCAGCAGAATTGACCAATCATAGTTGACACTTAGGCCCAGTTTGACAATTGACGGTTAACTCTTAATCGAGGTTCAACTTAGTCATTATCTCTTTCCAGTTCTAGAATTGGAAAGAGATGAGAAACAAGTTGAACCTTGGTTAAGTTAAGAGTTAACCGTCAGTTGTGAAACTAGGCCTTAATCGACTGATTAGGTTAATCGGAGTTGGTGAGACCGGTTCTAATTTTTGCTTTTTATAAAAGAAATTGTGCGCAAGTAATCGAGAGAGACAGAGAGAGAGAGAGAGAGAGAGAGAGAGAGAGAGAGAGAGAGAGAGAGGGGGGGGGGGGGAGAGTGGCCGAATTCGAGGGAAAAAATGTTAGCAATTTTATATTTAATCCAATTTTGTAATATTATAATCAAAGACATAGAGAATGGACTGCGCGATCCGTATCTAAGTAGTGTATCAAATGTGGTCGACAATAATGAGAGAGAGAGACCGTGAGAGATGGCCAATCTCCCTCTCATTCTCTCTGCCATTATACTATATTGAATGGAAAGAGATAGAAATGGCCGTCTGCCACGGTCCCTCTCTCTCATTCCTATCGACCATTTTGACACACGGATCGCGCAGTCCATTCTCTATGTCTTTGATTATAAAGCGGGGAGCACAGACTCTTGCATAACGCGTAACACGTAAAGCATAAGAATATGTACCAATTGAAGTTCTCCGTTTCTTTCCCTTCCATGTAATAGAGAATTCTGGTTGGTTCAATTTCTTATGCCTCATGTGTTATGCGTTATGCAAGAGTCTGTGCTCCCCGCTTAATTCCCATGCAGCACAGAATTTGCAGTAATATTGCTACAGTAACGCTGCAATATTGCTGCAATGTTGCAGCATTGTTGCAACTTTTGTGTTGTAGGCAGTCTTAACATTTTGTAATTTAATAATAGTTCTCTGCTTTAATTAATAAAATCACAGATTATTTTTATGTATAACTTAAATTATAGCGGAGAATAATTTGTTATTCAAAATTTATTCTTTTTTTATTTTTTTTAGACACCAAAAAAACTTTGATATATATGAGCCGTTTATTTTGAAAGTGGCCTACTAAATCCATTTGTCAATGTTTTGTTGTTGACCTTTGTAGTAGCGTGTACAACTTGAAGTTAGCTGTCATAAACAACATTTTTTTTTTTAATGGACTAAGGTCACTTTCAAAATAAACGGCTCATATATACAAAAAAGAAAATAGGACTTAATTAAGTGACGAGTTTTCTTCTCGGAATGTGTGTTCTGTGTATAGAAAAACTTAAAAAATTATTAGAAAATTAGAGAGGAAGGGGTATTACTTATATTTTATTACATATATGTTCTTTTTGCTGTCTATAATTATATACTTTCTCATTTCTTGCTTACTTTGCGTCGATTTGCGTCCGACAATGAGTACACCTAATGTCGTTAAGATGGCAGGGCATCTCAGAAATGAAATTTTAAGGTTTGTTCACGTCGCGTTCGACGCAACAAACCTTTAATGTCGGTGTTTACAATTTTCTCCACATTGCAATATAGGTTAGAATTGTCATTACACCCCGTTCTACCTGTTCATGGTTTACGTTGAAAATTGGTGCGGAGAGTTTACGTCGAATTCTAGTTAAAATTATTTAGGTAATATAATAATAGTTCACATTAAATAATAATTAATGTTATCGAATTAATCTAATGGTTTTGTAACATGGAAGACATTCCTTTCTCTAAAACCAATTCTACTAGAGAACATTGTGCCAAGTCATACCAGAATAAATACTTTACAGCTTGGACTTTAGAAATAAAGCTTTAAAATAATCGTGGATGTATTCATATATTTATGCTCATTAGAAATCTTAAAAGCACAATTGAAATACAGCCATACATTTATCACAAAGTATAGTGTTGCAATTATAAAAAGCGTAAACAAGATAGTTGTATCTGCCTTATTTGTATGTGGTTTTGTGAGGAAACTGTTTTATTAATTTAACAGATAAGAAAACGCCGAAAAACATGAAAAGAAATTTACAAAGTAATTATAATGAACCAGTAATTGAACTGTCAGATTCTGATGATAATGATTATAAAACATTTAAAAAATCTGAAGATGAGGATTACGTAATGGATCAAAATAAAAGGAAAAAGAAAATTATAGGTAAGAGACAGCCAACTAAGAAAGGAGTGAAGAGAAGTACACAGAGCAAAGATGTTAAATCTATTAAAAGAAAACATCAAGAGGGAAACTTGGAAACTTCTAGCAACAAGAGACCGAAGCTGGAAGACTCGTACACTGATTCTACAGATGCAGGAGTGTCTCAAGAAATTCAGAAAAATTCAGCCAGAATTCATATAAATGAAGATGTGAAACTCAATGAAAAATTCAATTTTAGCTTGTCGCAATGCACGGAATGGACCGATATTGATTACATAAGCGAAGTCAACAATGTAACTAGATGTATCGCAAAGAATTTAGTGAAACTTTTCAAGGAAGACAACACTATACCTTTTATCGCAAGATATAGAAAGAACATGACTGGATCTATGGATGCGGATAAGTTGAGGGAACTTCTAGAGAGTTTTGAGCAGGCAAAGATTATTAAACAACGTGCTGCAACTATTATTAAGAATATTGATAAATTGGGAAAATGGTCGCCCGAGCTTCACTCTGTTATCACATCTACAAAGTCCCTTGCCGATCTCGAAGATATTTATTCTTTATATAAACCTTCGACATCGAGACGACTTCTGGCAGATAAAGCACGAGGACTGGGCCTAGGAAATATTAGCGATGCAGTTTTACAGGGACGGGATATACCACCGTTGACGTCTTTAATAGACGAACAAAAGGAAGGTTTGCGAAACGAACAAGAAGTCCGAAATGGTATCGTGCATATAATAGCGGACGCCATCAGTAAAGATAAGAACATTTTTGACAAAGTCAACTCCTTGCGGAAAACCTCGGTTATAGACATACAAACGACGCAGTGTAAAACAGCAGAAGATTCGAAAAACGCAAACGAGCAGAAGTATGAACAGTACTTCAATTTTAAGTCGAGAGTGAATACCATTAAGCCCCATCATATACTTGCTATTAATCGGGCTGAATCCCAAAAGATCATCAGCGTGAAGATTGTCGTCCCCGACGCTTTCGAGAATGCGTTCCACAACTATTGCTTATCGCGATATACACAAGAGGGAAGAAATAGCGCGAAAATGTTCCACTTGACTTTACTCAATGATGGTATCGATTATGCTTACAAAAAATCGATCAAGCCTCAGATGGTACGTCGTATAAGGAGCGAGTTGAAGGAAAACGCGGAAAAAGCGTCCATAGAAGTTTTCACGACTAATGTTAAGCAACTGCTTCTCATTCCTCCAGTGCGAGGTAAAATTGTTCTCGGCATAGACCCGGGTTACCGTCACGGATGTAAGCTTGCTGTTGTATCGGAACAGGGCGACCTCCTCGAGACTGCTGTGATATATCCTCACAACCATTCGTCGGCATTTAAAGACGCGGCTAACACGTTGGCGAAATTAGTGAACAAGTACAGATGCACGATAATAGCTCTGGGAAACGCTACAGCGTGCAGAGAGACCGAGCTGTTTCTGACTAAAGCAATAGAGTCGAACATGTTTGGCTCGCTGAGCGCGATGTACACCATCGTGGATGAATGCGGAGCCTCGATTTATAGTTGTAGCCCGCAGGCGAAATCCGAGTTTCCGGATCTGGATCCGAATCTAGTGTCGGCTATCTCGATAGCAAGACGCTTGCAGGACCCGTTGGCGGAATTAGTTAAGATAGAGCCGAAGCATTTAGGAGTTGGGATGTATCAACATGACCTACCTCAAACGAAACTGACGAAGTCGCTATCCGAAGTTAGTATAAATTCACTGTTTAATATTAACTGATAAAGAGAATATAGATAATTTAAGAACTTTCAATATATAATGAGCTGTGAAATAGATGTGTAAAAAAAGTAATTGCACAATTTTTTATTGCTAACTTTTTTGACAAAGATAATCTTTTTTTTAAAAAATAAGAAAATTGTATATCATCGAGGATAATTTTAGAAACCTAAATAGAAAAGCAATAAATTAAACTTTATTTTATTTTTATTTAAAAAAAATTAAATCAAACACTTGAATAATAACGTAATAGTTTTTTTTATGGAAGA